CTTTTTTCCTTTTTTTTGATATTTTTCCTGGAAAGACTACAACCTAATCTACAGGATCTCAAATTTTCAGATTTTTTTGTCAATTCTTCTGAGCGCACAAAATCACCAAAGTTAGGGTGAAAATCCTTGGACCACACCTGCCTGCGCCTGCCGGTCGCCATCCCCCTGAAGGCCCGGTCCGTAAGGCCAGGAAAGCCGGATTAGGAGGGCAGGGTAAGGGGAACATCTGACCTCTTTGTATGTTAGTTTTATCTCGAAATTAATACGCAGATGCGACGCACCTGGCCTTGGCGCCCCCCACCTCGCGCCGCCACCATCGAATTGACCCGGCCCTGAGTGAAGACCAGTCACTTGTACAATAGTAAGGGCGTACACATTTTCGTTTGTCATTTCCCAATAGGAAATCCATGGATCAAAGAGAGCTTCTTCCCAAGGCGTTTCGCCTAACTAAGCAAACAACATGAACAAGTGAAATTCCTCACCAAAAGGGTATTTTCTTTGAACAGAATCAAAGAAAATACAAAATCTGGCTACATGATCAAGCCGCAACCTAAGCGCAGGCCCTGGCTGAGTGGTACCGGACGGCATGTTGACGACAAAATCTGGCTATATAATAAATCCACACCCTAAGGGTTGGCTGCTCCACCAGTGGCAGTCATAGCTGCGCTGGACGAGAGTGGAGTGGGACTGGGTGGACAAAGGGAAGAGGACAGCAATGCGAAGTGGGACCTACCTCGCCCTAGGCCAGAGGGCGCCTGTGACATGGTCAGAGTGGGCAACAGGAGAATAGCAAGTGAAGAGACGAGACGGAGAGAGAAGTGAAGTAGCATAGCATATAGAGATAGTGCGATAGTAGTGTAGGCAGTTACAACATAGGAGAGCAGCTGCACTGTTGTTGTGTTGACGGGAGGTGGCAACAGGTTGGGCTTTCTTTATCAAGACACTTCCGTGTACTTGTCGTCTCATTTGGTGCGTCTCCGCTTCGCAAATCTGATTTAGTCTGCACTCTCATCTATGCGCGTATACTGGTTTGTGTCTTTCACTATGTGTGCCTTCCTTCCAATCCACTTCTCCCCCAGCAACGCGTATACTGGTTTGTGTCTTTCACTCTGTGTGCCTTCCTTCCAATCCACTTCTCCCCCAGCAACGCGTATACTGGTTTGCGTCTTTCACTCTGTGTGCCTTCCTTCCAATCCACTCCTCCCCCCCCCAGCAACACGACCGATACCATAAAATGAACACCAATTTACATTCTGGCCCCTCCTATACAAATGTCGGTTGGTCCCTCCTATACTTCTCACCACACTTCCATCCACAAATATAGATTCGCCCCACTTCACAGCTGCACTAATTCAGTCATGATAGCCCCTACAAGTACCCCTCGTGCCTCAAACTCTTTTGCTCAGAACATGCGTGCACAGTACCATCTTCTCCATCTCACAACATGTGTGTACAGTACCATCTTGTCCATCTTTTCCCTCGAGATTCACTGACACAGCTCGACAACCATGACCTTAGAAATGCCCACACGCATCACGACCGCAAAATCACCATTGAACAACCAATCACTCCAAGCCTCTTTTTTGCGAACCACAGTTCTACTGAAGTTATGTCGACGGTAGAGCACTAGCTTCCCTTCGCATGCACGATACGAGCACAGGGTAGGAGATCTCTGGAATGAATATGTGTCGTAGAGTTAACCACAGGTAAACATATCCATGTGAGACGCGTGCACAACTAGGAGCCCTTCGACTGCCAAAGTGAATAAAGCAACTTCTCTGACTTGCCGACACGAACATGAAAACTTGCAAGGAAATAAACAGAAGCGAGCAGAAGTACTTGGATGAGCAGTCGTGCGTCCACCAAAGTTTAGACACCTTCGGAGAGGACGGTCAAGTAACTGCAATCCTAAACACAACTTTTCAACTCCTAAAAGGTCAGCCCTGAACATCACGAAGAACACTCTTCACTACATGACACAGATAGCAAAAGCCCACAGAGTGGTCAAGCGCTATAAGTCTTGGAGCCATTGCATCCTTATTTCAGAGTTATAAAGTCGCTCAAGACACTAAGCTCTTTTGGTTGCATTTCATTTCCCCCCCCATTCCACCTCTCTCCCTACCTGGGAAAAATCCTATGAAACTACCCCCACCAATAAGGGAGGACACGAACAAATGTGATAACCTATGAACACCCATCTGGAATGTCAAAGCACTTGGGCGTAAATCAAGGCCGAAAACAGGGTATTCCACTGACGACTGAATCGAGGAGGCCATGAGTATAGGGGACCAATTTACATTCTCCTAGCGTTGAGAGTAGGAAGAACCCAGCATGATCTATTGGTACTTAGGCCCCTGGATCGTGTTGATCATCAGCATTACGTCACGCACCGAGATCCACCCAACCCTTGAGGCTCTGAGGCTATATCCCCAAAGCTTGGCTTCTCGAGATTCTATGGGGGGATTGTCTGCAAGACAGAAATTGTGTACACGTGTATTTAGTGTTTGAAAAAGTCTAAAAGCAATATTCCCAGCTCCCTTCATCCCTTCATCCCTTCATTCCTTCACCCAAGAACTGTCGCCGCGCATAGATAATTTGCCATCCCTGCCTCCAGCCAGTTTGATAGCTGGCACAGGAATACTTTACGGTCAGAGAAAATAAGCTCCAGCATCTTTTCATTGGCAGGACTGCTGACAGATCCGCAGCACTGTAGACAAAAAAAGGCTGGAAAGTGTTTTTTCCCAGCTAATTTTTCAGGGGCGCGGCGGGTATCACACTGGCCTGAAACAGAAGGGCGTCCGCCAATCAATCTGATTTTAGGCCAGTCTTGATTTTCAGGCGGATCCGCAGCACTGGAGACAAAAAAAGCCAGGTCAATGTTTTTTTCCCAGCTATTTTTTCAGAGGCGCACCGGGTATCGCCGTGGCCTGAAACGGAAGGGCAGCCGCCGATTAATCAACAAGGCGGCCAGTCTATTTTCAGGCCGGCGTTCAGTGCCCGGAGCTGACATATGGGAAATGTACTGGTGGTTTAAACCACCAGTACTTCCTAGGAGCTTCTCTCTGGGGCTGGAAACGTACTAGAACTGCGCGCCAAAAAATAACGAACTGCGCGCCAAAAAATAACGAACCGGTGCCACCAGCCAGAGCTCCGGAAGTTGCACTCGTATACAAAGGAGAAAACCACTGGTGGTTCAATAAGACTTTTGCCCCTAGCCTGAACTTCCCTGGTGAAAACACACGCAGGTTCGGTACTTCTATATAAAATGAAGACGTGGTGTTTACTGCCAGCTGCCACTGTCCCCCACCCCTGAGACAAGTTGTTGAACCATTTGCCCAGTCCATCAGCAATACCCCAAAGTTTTGGTTGATGACACGTCTTTCCCATTGCAATAGGCGGAGGTCAGCAAACACTGTTCTGTTTGTGGATGCCCTGGGCCAGGTTTGGTAGCTACTTTCATGAATGACCCAGGTAACAATAACTCGACATTCTATTCAATGACAGTGGCCGACCCGCAATTACTAGCGATTTCGCCTCGATGCAGGCGAGTTGCAGCCTGCAATCCAAAGTGAGACCAGGTTTTTGATGTTAGCTCACCTTCTTCCGGTTGCAGCTCTTTGTCCCTGCCACTGAAGCACGTGTGTCGCCCAGGATGCAAGGGGCATGCTGACTTGACATTATCCTCACCTTCCTCCAGATTACCACCGGCAGTCTCTCCGGAGTTCCAGAATGACAATTAGAAAAGTGGGTTGCGTTCATTGTTGCAGGTCATAACCAAACTTCTCACGACACGAACATCACACTGCTACTTTTGTTGCTGCCCTGGGCCAGGTTTGGTAGCTACTTTTTCAGATGCTCCGGGAAGGACTGGCCCCCTCGTCTAGTAGCATATTGCCCTCGAGTAATTGGGGGGGCACAACCATTTTTTTTTTTTTTTTTTAACCACAAGTGCCCTCGAGTAATTGGGGGGGCCAGGTTTGGTAGCTACTTTTTTGGATGCCTCGGGACGAACTACCTGGTGGCCCCCTCGTCTCTAAGGCAAGGGTAGGAAAGAATGGCCGCGTCCGTTTTGTTGTTCGGTTCATGCGCTCTCCACCTGGCAACTGTCAGGCCTCTCTCCACCTTGCTGTCTCATTAGGGGAGAGATGCAGTATCCTCCACACAAATGTTTTTTTTCCCCCCTGCACAATTCAACACCGTCTTTGGACCCAACACCCCTTTGTTTGCAGATTCACAAAGCTAGCAAATACTGCTTTGTCCCAGAAAAAGATATCACAGGTGTCTACATTTGCAGAGACGAGGAGCCGTTCCCACATCTCCCATCTGTTCCGCTGCATTTGTTTGCCAACACAGCCAAATGAACTCGCATAAAACAGTGTGTGCGGACCACTGTTTCTTGCATTGTTGTTGCATTACCTCCATATACACCAGAGCACGACGAGCAGAGAGAAAGGAAAACCTAGTCTTTTGTATATGTACAGCAGCTTGGTGGGGTGGTTGTGCGTTCTGTTGCTTCCCTCTGCTGGGACTTTTCTGCTCTGGAATTTAGTCACACTTGGTTTTTCGCATCTGGGGATAGGAGATCTCATTGCTATTTTCCAGTGCTTTGGAGGGAAATTGCACAGCATATCCATACTGCAGAGGTAACAATGTCCACCAACCAATCAGACCTGAGGTTCTTCCGCAGATAAGCGCATAGTTTTACGGTTTTTTGTTACTGACACACGAGAACAAAACTAAACAATTACTTAATTTGAAAAGATGGAAGGTCGTATTAGCTTGATTGCATGGCCATGGTCCTTCTCCCCTTTTGCAGGCATTTTCAGGTCTGGTTTGGCAAGGATTAGAACACGATTTTCTTCATCCTTAGAACTCAGTTTGATTTGCAGATCATGTCCCCTCGGCAAAAGGCATATGGGTCAACATCTGCAGTTGTGAAAAAAACAGACGATCAGTTTTAATTGCAATTGCCATATTTTACTTTTACGCGTGCAACTGACTCTGGAAGACGTTGACAAAATAGCCGCTCATCACAATGGTGAAGCACCAAAGGTCCAAAAAACACTCTTGAAAGTTGAAAGTTAGGGTATGATGAAGTGCGAGCATCTCCAGCGGACAACAGAAAGGCGGATCCGTTTAAAGTTGTGATTGCCATATTTGACTCTTACAAGACATTGACGAAATACCCGCTCATCACAGTGGTGAAGCACCAAGGTTCAAAAACACTCTTGAAAGTTAGGGTATGATGAAGTGCGAGCACCTCCAGCGGACAACAGAAAGGCGGCGAGGCTGCACTTGTCCTCTCTCTCTCTCTCTCTCTCTCTCTCTCTCTCTCTCTCTCTCTCTCTCTCTCTCTCTCTCTCTCTCTCTCTCTCTCTCTCTCTTAGCACCTCCACCTCACTTTTTCTCTCCCTTCTCTCCCAAACTTCCCTGAGTTTGTTCTTCCTCACCACTGCCCAACACCGCCTTTCCCTGTCCCCTCTAATAAAGGGTGTTTATTTTCGCCACTTGCCACTGCTGCAGTCAGAACAAGTTGTTAGTGACTCAGCTTATCACTCATGGAAGCTACCTGCAGCTGTGACGAGCTGTGACGAGCCCAGCATGGTCTATTGGTACTCAGGCCCCTGGACACACGTTCGGAGCACTTCTGCAACGTTTGCCAGAAGTTGCGATCAAGTCCACAATGTTTGCCAGAACCTCTGGCCCTTTCAAAAGGGGAGCGTCAACGTGAACTGTCCTACACAGCAGAACTGAAAAGCCTCTGTCAGCTGTCTCCCGGGTTACGTGTCTGCCATTCTGGGTCCATGAGATTTGTCCACTGAGGATGCATGCAGTGGCTAGGTTTTCCAAGATGCAGAGCACCATTCACAGACGTATGCGCTTCGCTTAAGCTTACTTAGGTAACGACACAACTCTTCGGCAGTTTAAGCAGCGGCCCGAGGTGTGTTCTCATCACAATCGTTGTCACCAGCCCTGCCTTTCCTGCAGCCTCCAGTTTTGATAAATGGTCTCCGGACTCTCCACTAGTTTTTTCGTGCCCTTGAGAGAGAAGTTTTACCCACAGAGGTAGAGAGAAGTTGGGGTGCTAGGGCAGTAAGCACGGGCTGAGCTCTAGGCAGTACAGCCCACCCCCCCTCTCTGCATCACAATGCACCTAGTAGTCGACTCGTGACAAGTTTGCCACGTAGAAGCCTTGCAGCCAAGTAGGCGTATCTTCAAAGGTGGCTCTGGCTTAACACAGCCCTGGGAAGGAGCGGCATTTTCAAAGTTGAAGTCACGTCTACCGCAGTCAGCGCAGCAGAGCGACTGGCCGACAAAAGGAGTAGATCCCACTGCCAGGCCACACAGATGGTGGCTTGGGCTTCACTGTTGTGTTCAATGGCCAGGATTCCTTCCACTACATTGCCAGAATTGTGCGCCTTTTGATGCTTCTGGTCTGGGCGTCTGTCTGTTTTTCGTCTCCTTGAAGGTGGGTTGGTACCTGCATAGGTGAGAGGATGCAATCGAGTAGAGTTCGGGTTAGGTTGGGCTCGCCACCATACAGGAGTCTGTTACGACCAGAGAATAGGAGATTCCGGATGCAAATCGGCACACTCCAAACAACTTCAAAAATTTCATAGACTCCATGCGTAAGAAAGGACTTATCTGACAAAAGACATGCGCCAACCATTCTCGGTCATACAGCAAGGTGGTGTGGACGTGCAACAGATCAGATAAATCATCCACAAAATTTGCAGAATTTGATCACCACTCAGGAAGGTTGCTCCATCCTTTTGTCACCACCGCGCACCGTGCATAGACTTCACACAGGCTCAGAGAATATAGATCATTGACAAAACTATGGGCCCTTGGTCTTCTTCTGCGTTTCTGGATATCCTGCAAACATGATATAGGGCTGAAATGGTCTACAATTGTCAGAGAGAAATTTCACCAACCGAGGCCATTTCTGAGAGTGTAGGTTGGACGGTATGTAAGGCATTCAGCGAGGCCATTTCAAGGGGGTAGGTCGGATGGTGGGAAGGCATACTGCAAGGCCATTTCTGTGGGGCAAGTCACAGTGGCTGCCTGCCCTGCAGCAATCATCATAAGGTTGAAGTGCTCAAATCAAGATTAAACAAAGTGAGGCCATTTCTCAAAGGGTGGGTTGAATGGAGGAGGGTAAGGTATTTGCTG